GGGCCACATACAGACATGCCCAGCAGAAGACTTTCCCAGGTAGGTGGGAAGATAGGGGCAATCCTGGAAGGCTGCCTGAAGGAGATGGCATCTGCGTTAAGTTTTGAAAATTGACTCAAGTTATTAGACTTGGCACAAGGTGGCAAGAGAGGGCATTTCTGGAAGAGGGGGGCAGCTGGGACAAAAGCACTGGAATTTGAAACTGCAAAATGGGTTCAGAGTATAATGGGGCAGGCAGCTAGAGAAATGGGTAGGAACAAGAAATCACAAAAACCTTGTGTGTGTGTGTGTGTGTGTGTGTGTGTGTGTGTAGCAGGGGTGGCAGAGTCCTCTAGGAGTCGGGAGGATCAATTACTAAACGCTTGCTGTGGCTGTGAGCAGCTGCTAATCTCTGGGCCCCTTCTTCCCACAGAAAATGGTAACTTTCCCAGAACTAAATTATGTGCAATCAGGCATCACCTGAGAGCTAGGGGATGCGTGCCCAGCTCCTCCCATCCCTGTCCCGGACAAATGGACCAGAACAACCCTACCGGGTCCTCCTACCTCTCCCACCCCACCCAGACATCTAGGGTGGGCCCCCCAACCAGTGGAAACTGTCTTTTCCAGTGGGAGGAGCTGAAGGGTAGAGTCCCATGGGTTCTTGGGGAAGTTCTGGGGCTTATCCATCCCCCACCAAGAAAGCCCCACCCCCTCCACTGAATGCTTCCTCTCTTCTTAACCCTCCCAGCTCCCCTTCAGCACTGCTAGCCCCAGAGTGCAGAGGCCTGGATGCTTACTCACCACGCAGGATCCACTGATTGTAACCATGCTCCTCCTTCCTCCTTCTTAGTTCCCCAAACTCAACTTCTCATGTCTGTAGTCCTTCCCTCCAAGTCAAATGGTCTCACAGGGCTCAAGGAGTCCCCAGGGCCCCCCAGAGCCTGGTCCCTAGGATGGGGGTCCACAACTGATGTCACCTGCATACACACACAAAGTGGATGTCTACTAACATTGTTAGCTGAGGGTGTTACAGGCGTCTGCTGACCCAGCGCTCAGCTCCCTCCCTAGTTGGGAACTTGTCCGTCCTCTCAGTGGTAAAGAACCAGAACTGGGCCATCAGGAGGAGTCATTCGGTCCTCAGCCCAGCAGGTCAGAGGCAGGTGCTGACTTTGGTCCTTCGATCCACTCATTTAACAGGATTCCTCGAGCAGTTACTGTGTGTCAAGCCTCAGCCCCGGCCCCCTGGAAGGGTGGGTGGATGATATAGGCGCAGCATGCGGGATCATGTCAGTACCACTGAGACCGGTCTGCCAGGATACCAGGCGGCTGTGAGAAGGAAAACCAGGTCTTGACCTTTCTTGAGGACTGGTGAAGGGGGTATTTCATTTGACACCTGGAGGTTTAGCTCTTCAAACTCCCTTTTCAGCGTTGTCATCACTTTAGCTTTCTCCTCTGTGGAAGATGGGGTTATCAGGTGTCAGGATGTTGGGATTTTGATTGACCACAGTGAAGGCTTTGTACCAGGGAGCCACAGCGTGTTGTGGAGCAGTGGTGTGACAGTGAACCAAATGAAGTTTCAGGAGAGGCTCTAGCAGTGTCTGTGACAGGGGAGATTAGAGGCCCTGCATCTGGGAAGGTCGACTTTGCCCCGGCCTAATAGAAGGGGGGTGGGGAATCCAGTATTTATTGAGTACTGTCCCTATGCCAGGGATAGGGTACATGGTATGATATGAAATGTCAGCTCATTTCAGTTCCCCGTCAACGGTGTGAGGTAGGTACCGCACCATGTGCATGTGCAGAGGAGAAAGGTGTGACCCGGAGACATCATGACATCATATGCAAGACTCAACCCCGGAGCTGCGGCCACTGAGGCCAGTGTTCTGGTGTTGATTTCCTACTGCTCTTATAACACACTGTACAGATTTATGCTCCTCCAGTACTGGAGGTTGGAAATCCGCAATGAGTCTCAGGGAGTCAAAACCACGGAGTTGACCAGGCAGTTCCTGCTGGAGGCTGCAGGGAGGGTCACTCCTGGCCCTTGTCAGGAAGCTGCCCACCTCCTTCCGCTGTGGCCATATCACTCAGATCCCTGCTTCCTGCGTTGCCCCCTGTCAATTTCTCCTCTGACCTCCTCTTGCTCCCGTTGAGACGCCTGGGACTGCATGGATGTATGGAGGTATGTGGGTAACCCCGGGCATTATTCTCTCCTTAGCATCCATGCCTTAATCACACCTGTCAACCATGTGAGCACTGAGCAAGCCAGAGCAGACCTGAGACTCGTCCAAGGCCCCACGGCCAGTCTCATTCTCACATCGTGACAACTATAAAAACGCATCATTTGGACTTAACGGGGACTCCTTCATGCCCCCAAAAGCAAGCATCTTCCCAGGCTTCCTGTGGTTTGAGAGCCTCTCTGGTGGTGGACCTGATTTAGCAGCTGATGGCCAGAGAGATTGAGGAAACCATTTGGACTGAACTAGAATGTTGAGAAGCCGCCAACCTACAGATGAACAAGTGGCCGCTCAGGGGTGTGGGGATCATTGCAGCAGGTTGCTCTTCACTACCATCAGCCGACCTCTGGTTGGGTTAGGAGCCACGCTGCAGTCAGGCCCCAGGCTCCCAGGTCAATGGACGGACCTTGGTTGGAAGACTTCATCACGGTGCTGGGGCCAGGCAGGCCAGGTGTAGTCAGATTCTCTTTAACACAGACTCCAGGCCCGGAGCCAACCCTCCAGAGTCAGGCCTCAGGGTGAAGGTCCATCTGCCTTCTTGGAGGGGACGCCATCTCCCAGGGACTGGACACAGGTGTCTTTGCACGCCCTGGGAGGGGGGACTGCCTCTTTCTTATCCCTATGTTCAAGTTTTACATTTCACGATCATCTTAAAAAACAACAGCCTCCCCCCCTTCCTCACCCCTTAAAAGATCAGAAAAACTTTTTTACGCCAAGAAAGAAAAGCTCAACTTTTCACCTGTTTTCAGAATGATGGCCACTGCGGGCTCACGGTGCTGTGTGCCCATCATGCTCCGTCTCGGGCGTCCAGAAGCCTGGCTGGCCTGGAGCCAGGTCCTAGCTTTGCCAGATGTGGCTCCTGGCTGATAAACCAGAGCCTCATCACAGCCTCTGGCTGGCTGGCTGGAGAGGCAGAGGCCTCTGGGAGGCCTGCAGTAGCCACATCCACCTCGGAGGAGGAAGAGAGTGTTTTCATTAATCCATCCAGAGGCTGGATTCAGCCTGCTCCCCTGACTGTGACTCTCTTTAGACCACCTTAGAGGGGCTTCGCCTCCTCCCTCTTCCCCTTACCCCTTCTTCTTCCCTGTTCTCATCCTGCTCCTGTTCCTCCTCCTCCCTCCTGCAGAAGGACCCAGTGGTGCCAGGTCTGTCTGATCCCAAAAGCCGCAGTTCTTGCTATTGTATTGACTGATAAGACAGCTCGCTTTGGGTTCCAGAACGTACACAATGGGAATGTGTATACTAGTGCTGCTCACACTTGAGCAAGTGTCAGAATCGCTCAGCTCCCTGTGAGTCCCCAGAAGTCCTGGTTCTCTGCGGTCGCGGGTGTTTCTAACCAGCTTCCAAAACGCTGCTGGTCTGGAAGCTGTACTTTGGGAACCACTGGCTTGATTAGCAACAAGGCTTGGGGGGAGCAAATATTTGCGGCATTGTGGGAATAGCCTCTCCTTTGCACCTGAGACTGGGTAAGGACTGTGGCCACTGAGTTGGTGCCCTACGAAGAGAGAAGCGGACAGCAGCCCTCCCCCGCACCCCCCATGGGCAAGGGGGGCTCCCCCAGTAGGTGGTCCCCAAGCTGAGGCCTGAAGAAGGAGCAGGCAACACTTTCAATAATAAATATGCTCAGAGGAATTTTGAGAAGGAAGTAATTGGACAAGTGTGAAATGGTGTATTTATTACAGTCAGAAGTTGCAAATAACCTTCACTGAAAAAATATTGATTAAATAAATGATGACGCACCAATTTAATGAAATAGCTGCTGAAAACAGGAATATAGATAGAGGGAGAAACCTCATCATTGATGGAAAAGCAGGTTACAGTGTGGCACCTAAGCTTGATCGGACCATTTCATATTTAAATATACAATGTGTGTGTGTATGTGTGTGTGTGTGTGTGTGTAGTGTCATACCAAAGTGTTAATGGTATTTATCTCTGGGGAGAGAGTTTGGGATGAGAACAGGATTTACATTTAAACAACAAAGGCTTGGAACTAACTTAGTTTAACCTTTTGATGTGTTCTGCCAGCTGGCTCTCCAGAAACAGGGATCAGGGTATGGTACAGGGATGGGAAGGACTTTTGCATCCTAGAACATTTATTAAAATTACACAGAGAACAGTTGAAGCTTTATTCATTTTCTTGTGTGAAAAATCTCTCATTGCTGTTGTGCTGGGAAGGAAGGAAGGAGCGAGGAAGGAAAGAAGGAAGAAAGGGAGAGAGAAGGGGAGGGGGAAGGAGGAAGGAAGGAAGGAGAGAAGACAAGTCGGGAGGAGAGAGAAAGTGGAGAGAAGAGAGACTGAGCAAGAAGAAAGGAGGGCAGCAAAGGGTGCTGAAGGGCGCCAGGGAGGGAGCGCCAGGGCACCCACCCGGGAGAGGAGCGCCCACCCCTGCGGTGTGACGGCCCCAGGCCTGCGGCAGGCAGTCGGTCTGAGGGTGCCTGGAGCTCCTGGCCCTGCAGGCAGCAGCCCGCCCGCCTGCGGCTGGGGTCCAGCGCGCTCTGGCTGCGCTGGGCTGGAGTTCCCCGCTGAGCTCGCTCCAGAGGGCGAGGGCGGGCGGGCTGTCCGGAGGGCTTTGCCACCGGCCACCACCCACGGGCCGTCGCGGGCTGGCAGAGCAGCCTCATCGGCCACACGCGCAGCTGGCCGCCCCCACCCTGGGCTCGCCAGTTTCCTGCCCCTCCCCTCCCCCTTCCCCCTCCAGCTGTTTCTCTGCTGGGCTCTGTCCCGGCTCAGGGCAGCAGCAGCAGAGGCGGCGGCGGCGGCGGCGGCGGCGGCGGCGGCACGGGCCTGGACAGCAGAGTTGGAAGCGCCTGTGGGATGAGGGCCAGGTTGCCGGGCTCGGGGGTTAGAGGGGACCTGGACTGATTTCCCGGGACACAGCCACCACCGAAGAACCTGACTGGGAGAAAGAAGTTGGGGAACCAGGTCTCCTGCCGAAGTCACAGGAACCCTCTGCAGGACCTGAGAGCGCCACAAGGTATCACCTGGGCTTTGGCACCTTGCGGAGAGGCCGGGACAGGGAGCCCCAGCTCAGAGGAAGGCTCTGGTTCTTTGTGAAACTTCATCTGTGTGGACGTGATCATAGCGCCATTTCCATGTTCAGATCTCCAAAATAATGCTCACTGGGGAAAGTAGCAGGGTCCCCTAGTTTCACCCCTACCTACCCCCTTCACGCGGCAGCCCTAGGAGGGACACACCTTCCTGTTCTTGCCCTGGCCTTACAGGTGAGAAAACAGACTGGAGGGAAGGACAGCTCAGGCGTGGCCATCGTAGGTGCTGTGTGGGTGCTGTGTGGGCGAGTGTGTAAGGGAGTACACGGAGGGTGAGGTGAGGCTAAGTCTCCCGCAGCGCCTGGCCGGATGCCCTCTCCTGAGAAGGGGAAGGAGGCCTGGCCCAGGGGTGGCCTTTCAGGTGGCCCGTCCACTCCTCACTAATTTCCCTGTGGTTTGTGGGGTGCCTGTAATGTACCGGCACCCGGAGTCCATCAATGAGGACAGCAGCTACAGTGCTCCAGAACACGCTTGAAAGCCTCCTGGCAAGGGTGTCTGGGTTTTTTTAGTCATTCCTCGTCGGGGTCGCTACTCTAGTCTTTTTCATTGTTATAAATGGCGTTGCAGTGAGGGATCCAGGACAGCCGTTTGCACGTTTGTTCTATGGCTCCATACCTAGAAGTGATACTGCCAGGTTCAGAAAGCTTGGTGGCCCCCAGGCTTCTGAGGCTGTTGGACACATCACTCCAGAAAGTTGTGTGGGTCTGCTGCCTTCTGGTATCTACTGGGGTGCGATACTCTCCTGGTCTCCTCTACAATGGTTGCTACCT